CTCAAGCTAATGATAAAACAGCCAATTTAGTTCTCTGTACAGTTGAAGACTCGAATCATGTGTTCAACAGCCTTCATTTACGGGCCTCGCATACTAAAGTGTTGGGATTTCAACACTGCATTCACTTCGCTTAAACGAAAAATTCCTCCCACCACGGTGACCAAATATCAGGACTTCATACCCATAGGCCTGCCCTGCAATAAACCATCACGGCTTTCTAAGAAGAAAAGTAAAATGAAAATGTTTAATATTCCCGCGGGAAAAATACACGCATGCACGCTGACAAGTGTAAATTTAATGGTTAGCAAGTTTCTTTTCGAACAAAGTTCGGGTTGTCATTATTCGCAGACACGTAGGGCAAATACGAGTAGCGAGCGGGAACAACTTTATAGCAGGGTAGATGACCAGAGCGGGAGGATTCTGTCGCCCCTCTTTGCAGAAAAATAAGTAAAGGAGAGGTTGTACTGTTTTTCCAATTCCATTTAGTAAATCTTGTCTGTATTGTCTGCCGTTTCATAATAAAGACATTTAAAACTGAGACAGCAGAAAACAAGACAAACAATTATTTATCTTATTATGGTTATAATTACGATATGAGGTGAAAATTTCTTCCCACATATATATCTATGTCTGAAGAAGGAATTTGTTATCTTCAAATTGTTGAAGAGACAGAAGTCTATTAGTAATCTCCCATTGTTATTTATGGTTGGTTCTTCTTATGAGCCAGTGCATCCACAAACAGGTTGATTTCCAATTCTTTAATTAAAATCACCTGCAATCACTTCTTGAATTTCGTCGTAAAATTCTGCTCTTTCTAAATCTTTTCCTTCCAATGGTGCATAAATACCAATAACTGACTTAGTTTATGTCATAATTTTTATACTAAATTTTACAATTTCTGCGGATATCCTTTCGTAATTTAGCACTTAATTTTTAAGTTATTTCCCAACAAATATTGCAACGCTTGATGGTGCCCTGTTTTCTTCTGGTACCCTCGAGTAAAACTATATATTTTCTTAATTCCTTTGAGCTTTATTCTTTTCTTTCTTCCGTCATGATTGCGATATCTATTTTCCTATTTAACAATTCTAATTTTTCTTTTGTTAGTAATACCCCGAAAATTCCACGTTGCAACTTTTAAGAAGTTAATCGTAAGTAAAATCCGTCCGGCATTCTTTCTTGAGATTTCTTCGAGTAATTAATTAGTAGTCTTCTGGATTGGTTACCAGCCACTCACAGGATAAGTCCGGTATGTAGCAGGGTTACTACCTTACAGCCCCTAGATAGGCGTTATGAGGTGGTATTTCCCCACCCTCAATGGAATAGGTGTTTTCCTCCATGACTCGTTAGTAGGAACAGGTTGCACCACGTGATTGTCAGGATGGCAATTGGAAAGGAGACGCTATGAGTTGCATATCACCACCCCTTGCTACCCCTCGGCTGTTTGTTAAAGTTTGAAAATAAGGAGCGATTTAAGTCTCGATTGTGAGAGGAATTATAAACAAAATGAGATAATTAGGATTTCAGTCGCACATTCCTTCCTT